TTAAAGAAAACTCTGTGATCTTGTGATTTAGAACAAGGCCTAATGAGTCGGATAAGTTCTGAAACCTTAAAAAAAGAATCATTTTATTTTTTTTAATAATTTTAAAGGGGTCATATGATGCGATTTCATATGATGCGATGTCCTTTCTCTTTGGAGTGTTACAAGCTGATTGTGCATAGATAAGATCCCTGAAGTTGTAAAGACTAAAGTCTCAAAACCAAAGAGATATTCTTTATCAAAGTTAAGACTCTGCCACGCCCCCCTAAAACGGCTCGTTCTAACACACCCCCACATATCTACCTCACTATGTGGAAATATTTGCATAATGCCGCCCAAATGTTCACGCAAAGAAAGAAGGCGTGGTTTCAGTAACCGCAGTTAGTGTTGAAGCAGCCATGTCAGGGAGACGCTGTGTGTTTCTAGGCGAAAGCAAAAGCACTTTATTTGGCCTTCCGAAAGTAGATGCATTTAGGAATCTTTAAGATTACTTACAACAGAACAGCAATGCATTTTATGGACGACCGTTTCGTGAACCTAGGAGAAGAGGTCATTCTGACTTTGCTATGACAATCTGGCGCTTCTGAATCAGCTACTGTTTTGTTATTAGTTTAAGTGTTTGCTATTGACTGTTCAAATGCAGAGTTTTACGCATCGTGTGTGTGTGTGTGTGTGTGTGTGTGCGCGCGTGTGTGTGTGTGTGTGTGTGTGAGAGAGAGAGAGAGAGAGCGATGCGGTGTGCGTGCAAGCGAGCGAAAGAGAGAGAGCAACACACATCACAGTAGAGTCAGCTGTCTTAACCGTGGCTTGTGTACTGCAAACACATACCAGCTTCATCACTGTGTCTGTCCGAGACTCACGGGCTCTGTCTTTACATTTATTTTGAAAGAATTAAAAAAAAGCATCATATGACCCCTTTAAGTAAATATCATGGAATCCACATTTATATTTTAAATTCATTGTAATTCAATGTTAATTTTTGTAAATATGATAAATGTATTATAAGTAATATTAATATAATATAATAAATGTAACTGTAATTATTAATAATAGTTTATATATATATATATATATATATATTAGTGCTGTCAAACGATTTATCGTGATTAATCTCATCCAAAATAAAAGTTTTTATTTACATAATATATCTGTGTACTGTGTATATTTATGTATATATAAATACACACACAGTATATATTTTGAAAATATTTACATGTATTTATATTCTTATATTTTATATTATATACAATATATATTTAATATATAAACATAACATATTTTTCTTAAATATATATATGCATGTGTCTATTTATATATACATAATAAATATACACAGTATACACATTATGCAAACAAAAACTTTTATTTTGGATTGCGATTAATCGTTTGACAGCACTAATATATATAGAAGACATTTATATTTTGATATTATTGTTATTAGTAAAGATAAAAAAAATTAGGTAAATAAACTGGAAGACACATTTAGAAGACTTAAATTATTAATTTCAACTACAATCAATAAGATTCATAATAATCATAAAATATTGCAAATAAGAAATGTTTGTCTTCTGTATAAAAAAAACAATTAAGAAAATAACATTTACAATTTTGTTATCTGTTAAGTTCTGTAAATTATATAATAATTAACTGTATTAAATTGTAATTATTAATTATAAAAATATAAATAGTTAATTTAGGTAAATACCCTGGAGCACACATTTATATTTTAACATTATTTAAATCAGTTAAATTCAGTAAATAATATAATAATTAACTTTAATTATTACATTTAACTATAATTAATAATTTTAAAAAGCAAGTAAATACATTTATTTTTATTTCATTTCAATCTGTTAAATTCTGTAAACAATAGAATAACTCACTTTAATTATTAATTGTAAAAAAAATTCTAGTAATTATTTTAAATAAATGCACTGGAAGACATATTTACATTTTTATATAATTTCAATCAGTTAATTTGAGTAAATAATATTGTAATTACCATTATTCATTTTAACGATATTTTAAAATATTAAAATATATTTTTGTCATATTTACCTGAAAAAGCAAATTTCTCAAACATTTTTCTGTATAGAGCTGTATTAAATTTGACCCTGGACCACAAAACCACTGGACCAATCTGAAAGCTGAATAAATAAGCTTTCCATTGATGTATGGTTTGTTAGGATAGGACAATATTTGGCCTAGTTGTATAACTATTGAAAAATAGAATCTGAGGATGCAAAAAAATCTAAATATTGAGAAAATCGCCTTTAAAGTTGTCCGAATGAAGTTCTTAGCCATGCATATTACTAATCAAAAATTAAGTTTTGATATATTTACGGTAGGAAATTTACAAAGTATCTTCATGGAACATGATCTTTACTTAATATCCTAATGATTTTTGGCATAAAAGAAAAATCAATAATTTTGACCCATACAATGTATTTTTGGCAAATATACCCCAGCGACTTAAGACTGCTTTTGTGCTCCAGGGTCACAAATAGTTCTGACTCTGTATTTGTGTGCATGAAGGATCCTGAGAGTTTCGGCTCTATGCTGGAGCTCTCATGGAGGGGATCCAAGACTATTGACCTCGGTGATGGAGAGACAAGGACCTTCCTGAAGGACGGGGACGAGGTCACGCTCTCAGGTGGGCCTCTAGAGTCTGTGTGTGCTTGTTTAATGTTGCGGAGATGTGTGTTGATGGAAATGTGATCTCTGTGATAAGGGTACTGGTCTCTCTCTGTGCAGGTTATTGTGAGGGCAGGGGCTATAGAGTGGGGTTCGGTCTGTGTGAGGGGAAGATCCTTCCTGCCCTGCAACAGTGACACTCATCTCTGTCTGTCTCTCCTTCCCTCCTGTAAGCCAGACACAACAGCCATGAACAAATACAGTATTATTCATGATCTAATATTCACAGCCTGTTTAAACCTGTTTAGAGGTCTTTTCAAAATAACGTGAAACACTTTTTACGTTCATAATTTCTGGATATTCAATAAGAATAAAGGATATAAGAAATAAGAATGTGGGGTGGAACCTGATTTTATCCATCTGGATTGATCGGATTGTCATTAAAATATCATTAAATATGAAGGAAAATGTAAAAGAACGTGTTTCTTTAGATAACCTTTGTGATCTTCAGAAAATATGTAGGTAAAATAGTAATGCATCATTATGGGCCTCCATATGCTTAAAAACGGTCATTAATTTCTGCAATTGAACTAGTTTTTGCAGAAATTACACACTTGAATTGCTTTGTCATTCTGTGTTACTGAAAAATAATTCAATAAAGTTACTCATTGCTTTTAAACCGTTTTAAGTCATGCTTTAAAAAAATATTATGTTTTTATTTCATTATTTTATTATCATTTTTTTATGTCCATAAAATGTTTGGCCATTGCATGTTGCTGAGCTAATAATGCGATATGATAAAACTGCATACCACCACAAAGATTGTGTAAAATAGTACATTTCTAATTATTAATCATTTTTGCTTTTCAGTATTGATTGAATGAATATATTTATAAGAATTTCTCTCACTTAATCTTGGATGAATTTATTTTCATGTACGTTTATAATGCAATTTGTATTTTTTTTTATTTTATTTGCACATTTAACATTTTACCAACATGTTTTTTCCCCCGACACGTTACTACTACTGTTTTATTCTGCATGTTATGGTACTACTTATATTTTATTTTATTTTATTTTATTTTGCTACAATGGTGTTTTAATACCTTTTTGTTTTTTTGTTTGTTTTATTTAGTTAGTTACTTTATTTTATTTTACTACCATGGTGTTTTAATACCTTTTTGTGTTTTTATTTTTTTATTTTATTTTGCTACCATGGTGTTTTAATACCTTTTTGTGTTTTTATTTTATTTTGCTACCATGGTGTTTTAATACCTTTTTGTTTTGTGTTTTTTGTTTGTTTTATTTATTTAGTTATTTTTATTTATTTCACTGCAGTGCATTTTGGGATTGAGAAGGATGAAGAAAGCATTGCAAAGGTGATAAAACGGAACCAAAAAGAAACTTGAAACTTTGTACATAAGCAAAATGATGTTGTATGATATTATAAATGGACATGTGATAAACAAGATGTTTGTTGTTGCTGCTAGCAGCATCATCTATGAAACTGTATGATTGCAGCAGTATTTCTTGCAGTTCCAGCGCCTGACTGTCAGAGACTGTCAAACGGGTAAAATGACTGACAGGTCACTGCTTGAGCTCTTTGTCTGTGATGGTGGGTTTGTCTCACATCACCACATGATTATCAAGCCTTTCAAAGCTTCGAGTGAAGTGAATGATGTTGTAATTACTGACGGAGGACGTCCGGTTCAGACTGAACAGACCTGGTGTGTGTATCATAAACTGACGCTCCTACACTCAGGAAGATGATTTAACAGTAATTAGAGATGCTTGTTGATGCAATTGAACATTCACTGTTGTTGCTGTTTCAGGTTAGTGATTTGAATGAAGAATTTCGAGAGTTTTATGAATGATGGTAATACCATTTTTGGACATGTACCATGACAATCACTTTTTGGGTACTAAGGTTTTTTGGACCTGTATGTTATTTTATTTTGCTATTTTATGTTATTTTATTTTACAACATAATTGTTTTATTGATGTGTACTTATGCCATGGTACTACTCTGTTTTTGTTTGTATTTTATTTTCTAATTTTATTTCATCTCACATGCACTATGGAAAATACCATGAAAATATCAGGTTTTTATAGATATACACTAAGTACATTTTTATTTATTTTCATGTGTATTTAGCTATATATTTATTATGCAATTTGTATTTTTTTTATTTACAATTTCACATTACTACCATTTTTTTCTGCACGTTACCTCTTCCATGGTACTACTTAGATTTATTTAAATTTTATTTGATTTTATTTGTTGTTTTTTACATTAATTAATTTATCTATTTGTTTATTTTTATGTTTTGCTTTTTGCAGATTTTGCACACATTTACCATGGTATTTTTGGGATGTTTATCATGGAAATACTATGTTTTTTTTTTAACTATGATATTTACTAAATTATCTTTGGTATTTGGAGTATTTACGGTATCACCATTAATCATGTTTCACCACAGTGCATTTATGTAAGGGCAGATGGTACGGATACTCTGAGACAAATTTAAACCGTCAACTCAAACTGAAAAATAAAATATATGATATGGAATATACCTATTTTAAATAAGTTGTCATGACAGACTCTTCCATTAAGACTTCCTCTGCAATGAATCTTGTATTCAGCTATATTATGAGCTGCTAACAGATGGTGCGGAGCGTTTGGGCCGTGCGGTGGAGATCACGAGGGCCGTCCGGGAGTCACTGAGTCATCAGAGGTCAGATGGTCCATCCACGACTCCTTCAGCGTAAGTGTGAACGTATGAGCGCTCGTGTTGGTTTGCAGACAGAGATGGAAGGATCTCGCTTTCCCTCTTACTGTGTGTTTCTCCCCCTCTGTGATCAGACTTTTATCCATGAATCTTGGCGGCCTCACAGATGGACCTCCAGCGTTTGACCTTCCGCTTACTGAAGGAGAAAAGCAGGTGATAAATCTCTGAATACAGTGTGTGCTACCAATAAAAGTGTAGTGCTGTCAGCTCCGTTTAACATAATTAACCCTGGCAGAATCCCTTCTACCAAATTAAGCAGATTAGCTAGTACCATTTTAATTTTAGTTTGTTTAATTTCATAGGTGGGGTTGATTATTAAGCACAGAGTGTGTGTGTGTGTGTGTGTGCACTGCTTTAATCATTCAGGTCTGTAGATCAGAGTGTTATAAATGAAATCCATGGGAGATGCATTTAATCAATGCAGAGGTACATTATAAATGCAAATATGCAAATTGCAAACATTTTTATCTCACACTGCATTTCAAAACACGGACCAAAAACAGGTGCTAATAGCATGTCTACACAGATACTAACAAAGAGACATTTATCATTATCCGTTAAAACACAAAAATATTAAACTGATATTGTGGTAAATGATTTCTGAAGGATCATGTGACACTGACGACTGGAATAATGATGCTGGAAATTCAGCTTTGCATCACAGGAATACATTACATTTTAAAATATATTCAAATGAAAAATAGTTGTTTTAAATTGTAATAATATTTCTCAATATTTCTGTTTTTACTGTATTTTTGATTAAATAAATGCAGCTTTGGTGAGCGTAAGAGACCTGGTCTCTTGTACGTTAGTGTGCATCGCCCTCAACAGCAGCACATCATTACTGTTAGCATAATTCAGTTTGTGCTGCTCAGAGCTTTTATCCAGCTGCCTCTCATGAATTATGAGCCCAAAGTTACTGTGCCTCTAAAGTTAATAGAAGTATTGATTTGTGTGAGTTGTGTGGCAGTGCTGTTATACTGTGTGTGTGTGTGTGTGTGTGTGTGTGTGTGTGAAGGCTCAGTTAGCAGCTCAGAGCTTTCAAACAAATGCCTGAACACTGATGTAAACACATTAACACTGATTGGAAATTAAATAATTCAACTATTAACAGATGAAATACTTGGTGACATACTGCAAACTGGACATGTTTTGGATGCACTATGTAGTACATTTTCATGTTTTTATCAATTGTATAGAGATGGATATGACATTTTACCACAATATCAGTTTAATATTTTGGGGTTTTAATGGAAAACCAATTCATAGGTCTTTCCTGTGTCCTCAGTCCCTTTAATTTTAATGTAGAAATTTGCAGATACAGCCAGGGGGTACATTGGGCTAAACAGGAAAAAAAAAAAAATTAATACAAATAAATTATAATAATAAAATGTTTATCAAATAAAATGAAAATAAGTATTAAAAAAAATAAAAAATTAAACATGTTGCCTTGTCAACTAACTGAAATAAAGTTTATACATATATATTTATTTAAATAATAAAAACAATAAATAAAAATAAAATAAAATGTTTATCAAATAAAATGAAAATAAGTTAAAAAAAACAGAAATAAAATGTTAAATAAAATCATTAAAATTATAACAATTAACACATTTCGTATTTTTTTAATTATTATTGTTTTAGATATTATGAAGATTCTGCCTCAAAAAGGAAGCAACATCATTTTGGAGGGAAAACAGAAGTACGAAAGAGTATAAATTTGATGAATTCTGAGATGTTTTGTGGTAGATGGATTGTGTCACTTTGAAATATTTTCTTTTTGATGAAATTACAGAAATATGTATAATGCCAAAGTATGGTTACAAACATATAAAAATGCACTTAATGTAACTCCCATTCTTTCAGAGAGCAATTATGGCCAAATTCAGCTCCTAACTTCATCCTGTTAGGAATCCTGTTCATTTTCTCACCATTTCACACATAATCAAATCATAATTAAGAAAGTTAAATGTCTGAGTTTGACCAAGGTATATTTCTGAAAGTCTGGTACATGCTTTCGCAGAAATACATCCTTAAATTACAATTCAAGCATATTCATTTTTTGAAGGTTAGACTTCAAAAGGTTCTGCAGAACAGGAATGACCGGAGGAGGGGTTAGATAAGCTGAATTAGGTTGCAGAAAAGGAGTCTGCCAGTCTGAGAAACCTCTATCAGTTCAGCTGCACTATAGAGAAAGCTCTGACAGCGGGTTTGATGGATGGGAATCTGTCAGATCTGTTTGGAGGGTGTGGAAAGAGCCAAGTCAGCTTGACATCAAGTTACAGTAAACTGGATGTTAGAAAACATAAATGGAGCAGCCTTTGAAATTCTAATGTGTATGTGTGTTATTGCAATATCACTTATGTATTATTATAGTTTTTGTTAATGTTTTGAATTAGATTTTATGATATCTCCTGTTTTAACTTTAATTTTATAGTTGTAGCAGTTTAAGTTAAAGTTTTAGTTTTTTTAAAATATGTCTATAGTTATTATTATTATTTATTAGTTTACATTTTTTTAGTTTTAGTTATTTAGCTCTTCAAGTTAACTAAAAGATTAAAAGAAAATTAAAAAATGTTGCCTTGTCGACTAGCTGAAATAGTTAGTATATATATAAATATATAAATCTAAATATTTTTACATTATTTTATATATCAGTTGACATTTATTTTATTTCAAGTAATAAAAATGTTTTTTTTTTTACTTAGCCAAAACGTTCCCTCATACACGGCAAATTCCCCAGAGTTAAATCAACTCTACATATCTCTAGTACATATTGTCCCAATCTACAGAGTGTTAAAGTAACAACACTGAAGCCGAGTTAAAGTTAATGGGATAATTAAGCAATTATTTAATTGATGAGTGAGCATTATCAAAGAAAACCCACTGTTAACAATGTTGAAGATGAACAACTACAGCTCAGGCTTTTAGACATGAAAACGTATCACATAATCCTCAACAGTGGTAACTCTGCTTCAGTGTTACTTTAACACTCTGTAGATTGGGACAATATGTACTCTGAGCAGAGTTGATTTAACTCTGGGGATTTTGCTGTGTGGAAGTACAGTGTGTACAAATCCCAAAACAAAAACAACCACTCATTTGATTGTTTAATGTTCCATTCGCTTCATACTGGAAGTTGAACATTGTTGCGAAAAAAAATGGTGAGCAAAACATCACTGGGCTACATTTGATTAATAATTCCGTTAGGTGAATGCACTCTTACTGAAATAATTATACGGAACCTAATTGAACCCTTGAAAGTGCTGCTTGATCATTTAAAAAATTTACTTTGCATCATGAACCACCTGGCCTAGAGTAGTAATAATGTCTTTCTGATGCATTTCAAATCAGGACACTCCAGTTTATGATGCAGCTCTTGTACTCTTTGTATTCAGACTGTACAAACTCTGGCACGACTAACTAAATAACTGACTAACTAAAAGAAAGTGTTTGTTTTCAAAAAGCCTCTTAACCATTTATAATGCAAAACTTGATAAGAGTTAAATAAAATGTTGGCCACACTGCCAGGAAAATGATTTGTAGCATTTAAATGAATTGAACAGCAAATGAAAAGCTGAAGTATTCTTGGGTTGATCGATCGCGCTGCACTGTGAGAAATAAATAGTCATGTTGAGAGGAGGAGAACTTGAGGTTCTTATGATGGACAACAAATGCTTTTGCTGTGCTGAATCATCGGCTCATTTTGAGCGCTGATTCCTCTGAGTGTATGAGATAAATGAGGGAGTGATGCGAGGAAAAACATAAATCTGTTTTTAATGAAAGTGATCATAACTTGCCGTCAAGCTCCTCAGTACTACTGTCTTTGAATTTAGAGCACGGACAATTTGTCAATGTAATGCTTTTTGTCATTACCTTTAAAAAAATAAAAATTACTTCTGGTTGCGGAGATAAGACCTTCTTGACAGGTAAAGGATTTGAGATGTTCTGTAGGCATAAGAACTTTGATTCGCTGTGTCAGTGAGGCTTTCTATCAGTGGATGATTGTAGACAAATGAATTAGTTCGAACGGATGGTTTCGATGACTCTGTTGTGTAATTACTATTATCTTTATTATGGTTAGGAACAGATATGTTGCACATTTGCATTTTCTCATCAGACAGGACACTGGCATTTAGTTGTTTTGTCGTTCACATGAATGAAGGATACATTCATTCATGACTTCATTTATATGACTTCAGCTGAGGCACTTGATATCATGCAGACTATAGCTCTCTGCAAATGCGTACAATTGATCATGGACAACATGATCAAACCACATCAGGGGATCAGATTGTATAAGAGCCGATAAAAGAAAGAGACAGATGCTCTTGTAAAGACAACGTTAAGATGAATGCAACAGTTTATGGCGTTTTTCATCTTTAGCCATTTCCACAAGGCCTTCAGTCTTCTTGCAAAACATAGTCACAATTAAGATCATACTTTGTGCAAGTCTGTAAATGTGAATGCTTGAATAATGTATTGCAAGTATGCAGTCCCGTTGTAAATATTGTATTTGCAGTGGTGCTACTCAAGGGGCGATAGAGTTAACTGCAAATTACTGTGCCAATAAACCATAAATAAACATGCTGGCAATAATCTGTTGCTCCACCATGACTGTGTAAAAGAAAATTGATATTAAGAAGACAGCTATAGCACCCCTTGTGGCAATGTTAAAAATGCAGCTTTGTTTACGTACAAAATTGCGTAGCTAGATATGTTTTCCGTGCCTTACTTGAATGTGTATCTCATTTATCATTATGAAATATAAAAATATACATTTGCTGCCTTGTTTAACTACAAATTCAGGATGCATTGGTTGTGAGAACGTCAGGTTAGTTTGGTTGGAATTGTCTGATTTAGGGTGGTTTGTGCTTCGTTTTGGAGTGATTTTGTTTTACTGAAGCCCATCCAGAGCAGGAGCAAAAAAGAGGATATGGGTGTCAAATCAATCTTCATTTCGGGATTCATGCCGCCTTGTTTAATACAGTGTTGGTTTGGAAGAATTCAACTCCGTTTCCATGCAGGTGTCATCAAAGCTAGTGATGCTGTATGCAAGAAGATGACTAGCAGCTTAAATATCCCACATACATATGTGTACTGGTTGAAACATTATGTTAGGGTTTGATTGAATGCAGGTGCATTTTTATTTG